CAGCCGCCTGTCCAGCTTCACATAGGCTCCCACTCTGTCGGCCTGGCCAGATGGTGGCATGGCCACCATGATGCCCGCATTTCTGCTGCCACAACAAAGGAGGTGGCAGTTTGTCCCAGAGAGAGCACAGCATTGAGGCCAGGCTGCTGTTCCGTCTGGGGGCCAGCTAGTGCTTTGCCGCTCCAAGTGTGGCCCAGGGGCCAGCAGCGTTACTGTCACCTGGTTGTGCACTTGAAATGGAGAGTTGTGGGTCCCACCACCGCCTGAGGGGTCAGTATCTGCAGTTCAACTGAGGGTAAGGACTGGGACAGTGCAGTGGCTGCAAGCCTGGCGGGCCCCTGGACTCACTTCCGGCCCAGGAAACAGCTCTTGCCTATAGCTCAGGTGACTCGATGGCAGGAGCTTTTGGGAGTCAGTGACTTTATTTATTTTTAATTTATTATTTTTTAATTTTAATTTAAACCCAACAGTTTATTTCTTATTGAAATTTAATTGTTTGGGTTGCTAGATTCTGGGTCTTTGTTTTTTAATTAAAAATGTTTTTCATTTATAGTTGACGTACAATATCATATTAGTTCCAAGTGCACAGCGCTGGGGTTAGACATTTTATACACCTCACGCGGTGACCCCTGATTAGTCTTGCACCCGCCTGGAACCATCATGTTATCACAATACGATTGACTGTGTTCCCTGTGCTGCTCTCCACACCCCATGACTTTAGCTAAATGCTGCACTTAAAAAAATTAAAACTCACTTTATACTACGAAGGGAATTCATGTTCATATAGGAAAAATGTTAAAAGACATTTAAAGAAAATAACGGCCACTCGAGACCCTGCCACGGCAGGGCGGTGGGGCCGTAGCACGGCAGGTGTGGTCCTCTGTGTGTGTCCCCGTGTGCAGGCATTTAAGTGGAGCCACAGCATACGTATTGCTTACCACCCACACCTTTCGCTCGGTGTGTTGTGAACGCTCTTGTGTCATGACATGTCCGTCTGCAACATCATCTTTCCTGCACACACTTTCCTACTCACTAAACTCGCTGCTGCTTTTTAACCAGTGGCCCGTCGTTGGCCATCGGGATCTTTTGCAGCTTTTCGCTGGTGTGGACGGTGGTGCAGTGAGCGAGCACCTTGATGGCGAAGCTCTCGGGAAACCCTTTACTTTTCCTTAGAGTGAGGGCAGCAGGTGGAAGCAGGGTATGGAGACTCCTTTAAGACTGATCACATCACCAACTTCTGTCCAGATTTGCACGCCCACAAGGTGCCCTGTCACCCTTCACTGTCACCGCAAAGCTCAAGGACAGGCCGTAGATTGTCTGAGGGGCAGGTGCAGTGCTCAGGCTGCCTGGGTACCCCGCCCAGGCCACGGAGCCAGTGCTGCTGGGGTGTCCAATCAGGGTGCCAGTACCAACCCGTCCTGTCACCCGCCTCCTCAAACGCCCCTAGTGCCACCTTCTTTCTCTCTGAGCCCTGCTCCGTCCTCCTACCCACCTCATTCCCTGCTCCGGTCTTCTTCCTTCTTTTTTCCCGTCTTACTGAGTGAGATTCACATCTGTTCCATGACCCTGGCCCTAGCCAGGCTTGCACTGTCCCAACTCCAGCCACCCTTGTGCCCTAATTTGCTCTGGATTTTCCAAGCTAGATTCTAGACCAGCCTTCCTGAAGTTTCGTCTCGGGGAAAAGCTCTCAAGTAGGTAAGCCAGATGGAGGGGCTCTGACGTCTGGGGCTGATATGGGGATACTGGCATTGGTCTAGATCCCTCGTCCTCAAGCAGTGTCTGTATCTCAAGCCTGTCCTGCTTCCATCTGGGGCAGACAGGGGCCTGTGGGGGTCAGGTAGCCCCCTCCATAGTTTCAGCAAAGCGTTTCAGTCCCTAAGGACAGTGCTGTCTAACTCCACAGGGCCACCTGCTTGTCCTTCTGTGCTGGGTCCTAGCTCCTGCTTAGGCAGGGAGGCGGAGTATGGGGACTCTCAGCCAGGTTGGGATGTGGGACAGGGTTTGAGCAGGTTTGTCCTCAAGCTGGGAGGCTAGAATCTGCCCACCTGGGCTCAGCCCCTAGATGAAGGGTTTGGGGACCTGTTCTCCAACTTCCCAGGCTGGCACCAGGGTACAGTCACAGGTCACACCCCAGCCAGCTCAATCTGTTCCCAGATGGCCCCAAGTAGGGGCAGCCAGATCTACTTGGGGTGTGGGGAGCTGGGAAGACCTTCCTCCCTATGGGTGGGGACTGAGGGTGCATGGGATGTCTGCCTCCTCTGACAGCCTTTGTCCCCTCCTCTCAGCAAGGACCAGCCACCTCTGACCGCAGGGATGTGCTCCCTCCCCATGGCGAGATACTACATGTAAGTCCCTCTCTCCTGATCAGGGCCCGGGGATGACAGGGCAGGGCAGGGGTGGAGTCAGAGGGACGAGTCTCTTTCTCACCCTAGGAACCTCCAATGCCCCATAATTAAGCTCAGTTAACCCCAATGACAACAGCCCTTTCCCAAGCATGTGCAAGATGCCAGCCATTCCACAGTCTTGCCTCCGTCCTGAGAGTCCTGCATGGGTCACGGAGCCTATTTATCTGGAAACGGGCTCGAAGTGCTTAAATGAATTCCCTAATGTCACCCAGAGCCTGGCCAGCCTGCACATTCTCTGGGCTGCTCTACCTCTCTTCAAACCTCAGAGATGGTTTGAGTCTAGGTGGCAGCATCTTTGTGGCCTCTGCTCCTGGTCTGGGCTTCCAGGTCTCACTTGCACTTCACCTTGTCCGACATTTGGGTGTTTGCTTACAGTTCACTCTTTACTGTCTGTGACTTTTGCTGTAAACCGCTTCTAGCCCTTCCAGGGGGAGATGAGATATAATGAAAACAAAATAGCCTGGACTTTGGGGGCCCCGTCCGCTCCCCCGTGAGTACTCTGCCCCGACACAATGCTGGTCGGGTCCTAGGAAGTTACGGCTCAGCCGGAAAGGCAGGACACATGCACGAATCATGCAGGTTAGAGGACAGATGCCACACTTGGGTTCAGGCCTGCAAATAGCCCACTGCTGGCCGATGCAGCAGGCACAGTCCTGGTGGTCCACCTGGCTCCTGAGGTCTTTAGTTTTTATTGACAAGCAGACTTGCCTTAAATACAACACTCATTAGCTAAGGGTGTGTAATTAGCTGTTATCTGGAGGAAAATCTCCTGGAGGCTCTGCGTTGGCTTTGAGGCCCCGCTCCGGAGGTAAGGCGGGCTCCCCAGGCCTGAGAGTGGCTGACAAATGTCTTTGAAACCAGCCAGATGACCGAGCTAACAGGCTGCTGGCTTTGCTGTGGCACACGCTGGCTCAGCACGGTTCCTCCCGAGCTCAGGCCCATCATCATCTCCCGGGCCCGTCATTAGAACCACAGCCAAGCCCAGTGACTGGACACTGGGCCTGCTCCAGCTCTCTGCTGATCTCCTGCACTTGGCACCCATACATGGGCGCCCCAGAGAGCACCTGCCCAGGGTAGATGGCCACGTGGAATCCTTATTGTCACATAGGGTTTTTATTTTCCAATTTGTGGATTTTCTTCCATTAAAAAGTCTTTAAAGTAGCTGAAAAACACATCTCACTTCATTATACACTCAACTGATCCCTTTACCTAAAAGGACAAATATCTGTGAAAAATGGGGGCAGGCCCAGAGACCCGAGTAGGGCTCACTGCACCCTGGCAGCACCTTAGCCTCACCAGGAAGTCTGTCCGGGGGGCGTGGCCAGGGGCCCATGGGCGGGACAATGCTGAGCTCTCATGAGCTCCCAGTGAGATGGCTGGCTCCTACCTGCTTGGGGTGGGGGTGGGAGTGGGGGGCAGGACCCCCTCACCTGTAGAAGGAGAAGAAGTTGATGCTCAGTGTGGTAATCAGATCGAAGGGAGGACGGGCCATCAGCTCTGCCATCTGTTCCAGCATTAGGAATGCAGACCAGCAGGCTTTGTACACGAGAGGCGGCCAGCTCCTGCTGGGAGACCCTGATGCAGGAGATTGCTGTGCAGGTGAGCCCTGGGCCTTCCCTACCACAGGCTCCCCTCCCCTCCTCTCCCGGGGTGGTGAGAAGGGGCAGCTGGGGCCCCTTCTAATGAGAGGGTCACGACGCCTGTAGGGGTCTCAGCTCTGCTCTCTCCTCCCAGAGAAGGTCTGCACACTCCCCAACAGAGGCCTGGACCGCTCCAAGGTCCCCATCTTCTTGGGTGTCCAGGGAGGCAGCCGCTGCCTGGCCTGCGTGGAGGCAGGGGAGGGGCCTTCCCTGCAGCTGGAGGTGAGATGCGCCTCGTCTGGGGGACCCTGCAGATGTGTCTGCTCCCAGAGGTCACCCCACTCCCCAGACCCTGTGACTCTGGCCTCTCTGCTCCCATCCGCGGGTCCCTGGCTAGGCCCACACCACCCTCCCAGGGGGGTTTCTGCCATCGTACTCTGCACCCAGCGCCAAGACCCTTGCCCTCAGGGCAGCTCCCAGTAAAGACCCTCCTGGCCCACCGGGCCCTAACCAGGCCCTGAGGCCCCTAGGGCTGGCACTCCTGTCAGCAGCCTTGCCCTGCAGCCGGCCACTTGTCCCCACAGGATGTGAACATCGAGGACCTGTACAAGGGCGGTGAGAAGGCCACACGCTTCACTTTCTTCCAGAGAAGTGTGGGCCCTGCCTTTAGGCTCGAGGCTGCTGCCTGGCCCGGTTGGTTTCTCTGTGGCCCGGAAGAGCCCCAGCAGCCAGTGCACCTGGCCAGGGAGCCTGAGCTCTCTGGCCGCACCATATTCTACTTTGAGCAGAGTCGGTAGGGGGCAAGAGGCAGCCCTCAAAGAGGTCCATACCCCAGTCCTCAGACCCTGTGACTCGGTTCCCTTATAAGGCCAAAGGGACTTTGCAAGCATGATCAAGTTATGAATCCTAAATTGGAGAGACCATCCTGAATTATTGGGGGACTCATAAGAGGGGAGCAGCTGGGTGGGAGTCGGAGAGAGATGGGAATTTGCTAATTTTAAAGCTGGAACAAGAGGGCTGCGAGCCAGCGGGTGCGGGTAGTTTCCAGAGAGGGGAAGTGGGGGTGCTGTGTTGCCCTGGAGCCTCCGGAAGGAACGAGCCCTACCTGCTCATGGTTTAATCCCGGGACACCCATTTCAGATCTGTTCCAGACCCAGAGATAGTAAAGTCACGTTGACTTAACCTGAGTTGGTGGTGGTTTGTTACAGCTGTAGGAGACTGATGCAGCCTCAGGCCACTGCGTGCGGTGTCTAACACCAGGGGCAGGGCACAGTGACTAGGGCTTGCGGGGCTGGCCAAAGCTTTACCCCAGGCCCTGGTCCCTCTTCTTTTCCCTGGGGTTGTGTGGTTGTGCTCTGGCGAGAACATAGCCCATGGTGTGGGCTCAGTGGGTGGGCTGCTGGCTGGCGCCCTCCTGTGTCCGAGGACCACTCAGCACCCATGCGTCAGGCTAGTGTGTCTGGAGCTGTGTGTCTGCACCCAGGACAGCTCTGTAAGGTGAGTTGCCTATGGCCATCTGACAAGTGAGGCTGTGCTAAGAGGAGTGCAGTTCCTGGAGCTCACGTGACCACAGGGACACCCCGCAATGTTCACACCTCACACTCCTGGACTGGGCACAGAGTGGCCACTGAACCTGCTGATGCTTGAGCGGATAAACACTGGGCAAGCAAATAAGCACGAAGACAAATTGGCCACTCCCCTACAGAGGGCAGGGTGGCAGCTGTTCACAGAAACAGAGAGGGTGGTGTAGAAGTGACCCTGACTTTTTTTTTTTCGTCTTTATTGAGGTATAATAGATAATTAGTTGCTTGTATTTATAGTGTACAATTCAATGAGGTTTTTTTCAATTATAGTTGGCATACAATAATATACCAGTTTCATTTGTATAGCGTAGTGACCAGAGATCCACATAACTCAAAGTGATCACCCCCCTAATCTAGTACCCCCTTCCTCTTTACATATTTATTACAACATTATTAACCCTCTTCCTCATGCTACACTCTACATCTCCATGTCTATTCTGCAACTATCCATTTCTACCTCTTAATCCCTTTGCCTTTTTTTGTCCTCCCAACCCTCCTCCTATCTAGTATCCCTCTAAATAGTCTTTGTATCTATGAGTTTATTTCCACTTTTGTTGTTGTTGTTGTTGTTGTTGTTGTTGATTTTGTTCTTTAGATTCCACATGTATGTGAAATCATGCGATATTTATCTTTCTCTATCTGACCCATTTCATTCAGTGCAAGACCCTGTAGGTCCGTCAAGGCAATATCTTTTACCATCCCCTTTCTTTTAGTCTGTGTGTGTCTTTTAATCTGAAGTGAGTTTTTTTGTATTTTTTCTTCTTAAAGAAGTCCCTCCAACATTTCTTGTAATATTGGCTTGGTGGCAATAAATTCCTTTAGCTTATTTTTGTCTAAGAAGCTCTTTATCAGTCTCTCAACTCTAAATGATAGCTTTGCTGGATAAAATATCCTTGATTGTAGATCCTGGGTATTCTTCCTGTTGAATATTTTTTGCCAAGCCCTTCTGTACTGCATAGTTTCTTTTGAGAAATCAGCTGCCAGTCTTAGGGTGTTCCCTTATAAGTAACTATCTGTTTTTCTCTTGATGCATTTAATATTCTTTTTTTTTTTTTTTATTTAACCTTTGGCTTTTTAATTTTGTTCAGCC